GTGTGTGTGTGTGTGTGTGTGTGTGTGTGTGTGTGTGTGTGTGTGTGTGTGTGTGTGTGTGTGTGTGTGTGTGTGTGACGTGGATGGGTGTCAGTAACTGGCAGCCACATGAGCTTTGAAGTTGTGTCCTCATAGCCTTTAAATGTCAAATTAAACCATGTGACAAGGATGTTGCACTATATACATGCTGGCAATGTTTACTTTTGTTTTGATTCAAACACACTGGAAGTTTTTTTTTTTAAAAGATGCATCTACATTTAAAAGCACTCTTTACTGAATTTAAAAAAATGCACAGAGCTACTTTTTGTTGTGCAGTTATTTTCTACAGAAGCCATCGGAGTGCAGATAATAAGAGAATGTATGGGCATGAAGGGAATCTGCCCTTAAGGCTCAAGCTCTAGCACCTTCTGCCTCAGAGCCCACCTGTCTGTCAAGTCACACAACAGATATCTGTTAACAGGAAGCAGATGGAGAGTCACACAGGCTCCTGCTTGGGGCACAGATGACCCATTACCTGCATCATGCAACACAGGCACTGATGTTTCACATGTTTGAGTCAAATAAACGCAATGGTCCATTGGGGTACTTTGTGGTCAGACATAACCCTGATTTCACCTTCTGTGGAGTGAAAAGTACAGCAATCTTTTTTTGTGGCTCTGTGTTGGAAACAAGCATGCTATTTCATCTCTTTACTTGAGACATGAGTCCAGTTAAGCTCCTTAATCGCTCCTAATAAGCTTAAAGGTGACCACTGTTGATATGGTTACTGCTGTGATAATTTAACCTCAAAGAGACGGACTCAGATTCAGTTCCATTTCTTAAGTGAAATCACCACCCCGTCCACCTTTTGATGCTTAAGTAAAACTCAAAAGCTGAGTGTTGGTGGCTAAACAGAGAGCGCTCCTGTAATGTTGATGGAGCAGCAGTGGAAGGTGCGTCACTGCAACTCAGGTAGAAATGCCTTAAGCTCTTTTAACTATGTATTACAGAGCCTGAGCTCTAATCTGCCGGATGTTCTAAGCTGTTCAGAATACAGAACAGGTTTTAAAGCACATCTAGTTATAGAGATCAGAACTTCAATTCATCATAATTGTCACTGTGACACAGAGAGGTGTTCTTTTGTGAATGGTTTGGCTGCATTGTTATGCTGAATGCATTGCAGTCTGGGCGGCGTCTACAGGGAGGCATTGTGCGATCACGTAAAAGGTAAAGAAAACATGCCGAACCCTCTGTGACATGAGACATTAAAGCCACTGAAAACTTTTGTGTGCTGTCTCTCTTCATAAACCAAATGAAGGCTTGTACTAATACAGAGAAAAGTAGTCCCTCACTAGAATCAAAGCTTCCTTAAGCTTACAAAACCCCTGAAAGATATAAACGCTGTGAAATCATACACATGTCTGAGGAAGATCACTATTTGAGTGTGTTGGAGCTTTTCTGCTGTTTTCTTATAGACTTCTTTTTGTATCCAGCGCCAACATTGTAAGTGAGGGCTTTTAATTTCACTCTTTATTATTTAAAACATGAATGATTTATTGACATTCACAACATTACCAGCCAGTTGAAGCACAGATAAGAAACTTTCATGCAGTTCATAAAGTGTTGTCTATTTACACTTTGCGTCCAGGAAGCAAAACATCCTGGTATTTTGTTGTTTAATAGTCACGCTTATACAATTTGTTTCTTTTATATGTTAATGCTAAACATTTCTGGATCATGTGTTATCAGATTTCTTTTAAAATTCTCAAATTTCATAATTAATGCTGGGTGAGCTTCAAAAATAAGGAACTGATCAGAATCAGTACTTGATTACTTGCTCTTATGTGATCTTTGCTATTTTGGGTTTAAGATCAAGTGCAAACAGTCAGATATTGCTCATCCATATCCTTTTGTTCTTCCTAATCACATGTTGTGCTGAGTACACACACCTTATCAATGCATTTAAAACCGGATGGACATGGCAAAAATACCACTAACTGATTATATAAGTCTGCTGGCACGCTGATAAAGTAACACCCAGTGGGTGCTGCAGAACATTTTAAAACAAACTGTACCCAAACACTTGTGCCGATTGTTTGGTTATCTTTAGACGCTCAGTTGCATCTGCCACACTTCTCACATTTTTTTTCTCTTCATCCAAATCTCCATTAAAGTCGCCCTCGTAGTTCTTGCATAAGCATTGCAAATTTTACAGAATCCTTTAAAGTTTTTTCTTTCTTTCTTTCTTTCTTTCTTTCTTTCTTTCTTTCTTTCTTTCTTTCTTTCTTTCTTTCCTTTTTTTAAAGAAAGAAGACTTAGTTTACATCACATCGCAGATGCCCATGAAGCAGGATAAAAAAAAAACTAGTTCCACTTGTACTTTTGGTCATTTTGTGTATTCGTTAGTGTTGGTGTCTCTGCACTGGTCATTCAGCCTCCAGACCTCTTAATGGCTGCATACATCTCTTTTTTTTGTCACTTACCTATGGATAAAACAAGAGTTTAAATGCTGCTTGATAATGTTGCTTTACAGGTGGCAGCTACCTAGCAACTGCTCACCCACAGGTAATTCAGGTGCCATATAGGTATTGACCGCTGAGCTTTTAAGTTAATACAGAGGAAATGAAAAATTGATGAGCTGTTGTGTGGCCCTCTGTTCCTCCCATTCATATACTGTTCTCACTGCACTGCATTGAGTCAAAAGGAAGAGTTGTTGTTACTGCGTCTAAAATGCTGATCGTTGCATGGATTAATGAGCTTGGAGGTTCAGCACCTCACAAGTGACTGCAACAGCACACCGAGCTACTTAGTAACTGATAGGAATGAGTTCACTGAGGCACATATCCTTTTTGGTGATCCTTTGTAAAGGGCATATGTTGCACAATACCTGATCTTATTCAAGGGCAGCACTTTCCAGCAGTTCTCTCCAACCTTGCCCCCTCAGCGTCTCAGGCACTTTTATACGCTTGGTTCATTTTTAAACATAAACCAACACAGTTTCTGTTATCGTGCAGTGTTTTTATGAGGGCTGTTATTAATGGAAGGCTGGCCTTAGCACCCACAACCAATTAATACCAGGTCCTCAGATGCATAAATACGGGCTGAAAGACCGTTTTCTGCTGATTAAGAGAAACCAGATCTTTAAAGTTGGTGCACCCTGGAGGTTTTATTGATGGTCACAAACTGTTTAAGAGGATTTTTTTTCCTCAGCTAATGCTTCTTCTAAAACAAATAAAACTTAATGCTGTTGAAGCATGTAGATTGGGCTGTTATTAACCATTTCTTTAGTGGTTTTTACCCATTATAAACTGGTAGTTTTCATACAGAAAACTACAGAATGCTCACACAGGCTAGCTTGTCCAGTATTTTTCCAGATATAAACAATGAATTCATTAAAACATGCACAACTAATGAATTGATATTGAAAATAACCTCCTGTTGTTTCAGTGCTTTATTCCTTTTGCCGCTAGTAAACATAGTTCCTGTGTCTAGGTGCAAAAAAAAGGAGGGTAGATTGTACATCAGCCGAGTTGTAGTAAGACCTGGAAACATTACTGAAGCAGTGAAACTGGGCTCTTGATGTAGTGTTTACGTTTTAGCTCAGAGTTTTAATACTCATATCGAAGTAGCAGATTAAATTAAAGCTGTAAAACCTTATTAATGTCTTGCTACTGTGTCCGTATAGTTGTGAGGCTAAACAAAAAGGCATAAATCTAGTTTGGCACGCCCCAAGATTTCTGTTGCCCCGCCCCCGTCCCCTGCCCCCTCTCTCACTCATGCTAGCCTGGGTTTCATAGTATAAGCCTGGCTGTGTAACTTTTATCTGAATATGGCTAGTGTTCACTGACAAGCCATGGGCTTCCTATCAGCTCTACTGTAGCCAACATCAACATGGTCTTTCCTTGTAAGGCCCAAAGTGCACCCAAAATCAGCTTATCAGGGCGAGCCAATGTTCTGTGAGTAGAAAGTTAAGAAGGCGCACAGTGATAGCCTACATGTACACATGGCATAACGTCATTTTGATGTGGGGCCCGCTGTTTGTTGGTTTTTTTTCCTTTACTGAGCACGTTGGTCACCTGTGAAATTTGTACTGTACTGAATGTGCACGTCTTGGTGATTGCTCTGCAAGATACAGCTTGTCTGTATCATTCAGAATACTGACAGCACTGTGCCTAGATAGCAGTGTCTCATTGGCTGCTGTTGATAACAGGTTA